CTTGGTCTGTGTAATAGACTGTCCTTCTCCAGTCCTCAGTTTTGGTGGATATGTTTTCCTGTTTGTTTATCTGTCATTTTTCATGCCTGCTATCTTTTACAAACATGAGTATCTTTATCAGAACCTCCCACTTTTTCTGCCGACGTTAAACTGCACTTTCAAGATAACTTCTGGGAAGTACTGTAATCTGAGGCTTACTTAATCCATGCCAGCATTCCTTTTCTCTTGGCTTTTTTTCCCGCCTACCAGATAATGCAAAAATTAATAGCAGTTCTATAATCATAAATTTGTGAGGATGCAAGAAAGTATTGGAAATTACTCTGTCATTTAGTTGTTCTGTAATTTTGAAGGAGCATGAGCCTAAAAGAGGGAAACAAGGTGACTTTAGCAAAGGTAGTGGAATATTACTTCTGAATAAGGAGATTGTGTATCAAGTCTGTTTTAAAGAGGAACACCTTTGATCTTAGTCTCTTTGTATCCAGAGGAATTCTGTGTAAGGTGGAGTCATGTCAGGTTACTACATCATGTTTTAATTAATTTCTGAGAAATTATAAAATTTCTTTGGAAAGATATAAGGATAAGGCAGCAATAATTTCAGAGTATAGGAGTTGAATTTCAAGTTATTAAGATATATTACATGGAAAAAATGTCATGTGTTTTGATAGGGACAAGTGCAAACTACAGCATGGGAATAAAAATGGTCAGCTCTACAAATATGCTATGGCAGCTAGGCCACAGTCATGGAGAAGAGGATCCAAATGCAATAGATCACAACATAAATATAGTCAGACATGATAAAGCATGTAAAGTAAACCTGCTTTGGTGCTGCTGGGGCCTCAAATGGAGTGCTGTGCTTGATTTTGGGCACTGTATTTTGAGAAACATGTCCTGAAACTAGAGAAAGTTCAGAAGAGTGTATGAAGAATGAAAGACTGAAAGAAAGGGGTCCATTTAATCTACAGAGAGAACAGCTGAATAGAGATGCATAAAGGTGTTCTTAATTATTATTACATGAAGTTGTAAACTCTTCCTTGTCTACTGGGAATAGGACAAAGAAATGGTCCAAAATTATCGGAAGAAAGATTTTAGGATGCTGTTTGATCTTGCACTTGCCCTTCATCCTGTAGTTCGTTCACTTATTTCTCCTCTTAATTGTTTGTAATGTGGCACTTTTATAATTTAAAGTCAGAAGCTTGTATAATGGAAGCATGTGATCAGGGGGACAGAATAGGGAGGAAGAGGTTTTTCATCTGTCAGTTGATTTTCTGTCAGGTCAGCTTCTTTAAGCTGCTCATCCCTGCCTGAATCGTCACTGAATTCAATGGAAGGGAAAATAACCGGAGCACATGGCAAGGGGGAGTGGGATTATATGTAAGGTCAGAATGCACCCTCAGGCTAGATATTAGGGCAATCTGCCTAATGACAAGGATAATGAAGAACTGAAATAGGCTGCCTAAGGAGAGTATGAAATCTACCTCAGCAGTGGTTTTTTAAGAGCAAACTAGAGATGTATCTACTGGGAATAGTTCTGACACAGTCTAGCCTTTTACCTTTGTCCAGGGCCAACTAAGTGATCAACTTCAAATACCATCCAATCCCAATTTCTGTGACTCATGCAACCTCTGGAGTAGATACGAGCAATAAGACTAATAATTTTTGTTATGATTTGGAAGTATTGTCCACTTGCCGTGTAGGTTCTTCAGTGACTGGAGCTGGTATATGTGAGACAAAGAAGAGTAGTGGTCTTGAGCTTTGTCTGCAATCATCAAGGTTAATGCTCTTTAAAACGGAAGGTTTTAAGTCCTGACTGGTATGATTTTGAAGTGCTTCTGTTAGTACTCAAGAACTTGTGTGTTTAATGAGCTATGCGGACACTGTTTGGACTAGATTTACTTTGGTAAGGGTATGTTCTGGCCCCCTTTGAACTATTTTAGGCCTGAAAAGAATAGACTTCTCTTCCTGTCTCTCTTTAGTTTTGAATGTAGAAGCAGGTTTGACCCATAATGAGCACTGAGGTACTTGACTAATTAAATCTTTGAAATGCGGTTCCTTTCTGAAAAGTAACTGTTGAATAGCATTGTATAATTCCTAGCTGGGTCACACAAACTTTTCAAATTGTTAGTCATACAGTCCTAAACAGAATCTGCAAAATAAGATAAAAGTGAAGCTATTTCCTCTTTATATTTGTCAGACTTACTATTTCTGACACCACGAACTGAAAAATTACAAATTCAAGACTTTGCAGGTCTTCAGTTTCTAGAAAGTCCACATGTGGAGCCTTCTTGACTAAGGTATTTTCATATGAAGCCATGTACTTGGGTTTCCCAGATACGTATTAAACCTGTTGTTGTTGGTATATGCCCTGTATCATGTTAAGGATGTACCCTTGCCATACACCCTTATTTCATTATTCCTTTGGGGGAGTATTACAAATCTCCTTTGTGGGAGTTATCGCAAATTTGTTCAGTGGCTTCCGCTTCCGTTGTCATAGAACTGATGCACGTGCACAATGAATTCATTATAAATCAAGAGCATTTTAGTTAATCAGCATTTGCTGTTCTGTCGTACAGAATGAATGCTATAGACCTGCTATAGTTTCTTATAACTCTCAGACTTGTAACTTATGTTGCATTATGTGCATGCACTTTGTGTCTAATGAATCATAGTTGCTTTCTACAGAGCATAAAAGCTCTGTATGGTCAGATTTTCTTTGCTGTCTCCCTGCATACCTGTCCATACATGTGCATCTTCCTGGTGGAACCGTTCATAAGTTAGAAGTATTTCTAGAATAGCTGAATTGGAGTTGGAAGGTAAGAGACTTCCAGCCCAGTTAACACTATAATTTTATTAAACTCTCATGTCTTAGGGGGTATGAGAGGGTGAAAAAGGTGTAGATGTGCTCAAAGACAAGTATGTGCAAGACAATATGTAAATGCAGAAAGGACAGAATTGCATGAGTGTGGGGAATATTTAAAAGCTCCGAAACTGTGGAATGTGCCACCACAAAGGCAAACATAGTTCTTGGACCGCTATAGTGTTGGATACTCAGTAGTGGGGCCCTTTGTACCAAAGTCTCATGGAGATCTAGGTAACTGGGAAGAGGAAAATATTTTCAGTCAATAGGAAGAGTCCTTTCCAAAGTGGAAGCAGAGGAAACAGGCACTAAGGTGTAGGAACGTACAAAAGAGAAGGTAGTGGCAACTTTTCACAGTGTCAAAGACTTTTCTGCACAGGTTGCAATTTATCCTTCTCCTACCATACTGTATGTGTGCTGGAAAACACATTAATGTTTGTTTTCTATGGATATCTTCATTATTTTTGTTGTATCTGCGTACTGGTTGGTGGAAATGTTTTTGAGTTTGCTGTTAAAGTGGGACAACTAGATGGCTGTGCTGTCAGGTACGAGAATGTGTAGACTTACTACAGTGGTTTTGCAAATTGGTTTGCTATTGTAAAAGTTATCAACAATATGTTATGTCTTGCCCTGAAATGTGCTTTACAGAAGGCAATAAATGAAGTCTGATAGAAGCAATGTTGGTGTTCACCAGCCTTAAATGTTGCTTGAATTGTTTTCCAGGTAGTGATAGCATTAGGATATGGCTGTTGGCAGCTTTGGGAAGTAGCCACTTTTAAGTGTAACAATTACTTCTTGATTTTAACTTGACTGATGTGGTCATATGTTTCAACAGTCATGTATTTCTGTGTCTCCTTATTACTTATTACATCTGCAGTCACTAGGATGCAAATGCAATCGTCTCTCCTATTTCTAGGCAGAAAGAAATCCAAGCTTCCATCAGTTTAGTTGACCATAAATTACTGTGAGTTTCTGGATCCATCAGATTTGACTCATTCCCAGTAGTTACCAAATGCATCACAAATCTTTTTATCATGTACTCTTGTTTGCTCTGTGAAGTACAATTAATCTCAAGGAGCATGGGTAGGCATAACATGCAGCTGTACTGTCCATCTAGAGGGTAAAGGCGCTGCGCTGTCACCGCAGAGACCCGGGTTCGATTCCCGGTCGGGGCCACTCCCCGGGCAGATGGAGCTCGTTAGCCTGTAAGGCAATCCATCTACGTCCTGAGGACCTCGCTGCCACCGTCCAAGCTCACTTGGCCCCTGGAGATGAACCTCAGGATTAAAGGGTGGGCTCAGTTCCGCGCACACTGTGTCTCACCTAAAAAATCCAATGCGCAGGCTGGGAGGTGGAAAGACCTTCCCTGGTTCTTCGTTCGCGAAGACTGGCCATTACTTACTTACTTACTTACTGTCCATCAGAGTGTCATAAAATCTGTTAATAGACTCAAAGGCGAGAGACTGTTAACTTATAGGATGTTTGACATAACTCAGTTCCATGGGAAAAATTTTTAATAGCATCATCTAATGTGAAAAATTTTGAGAAATTTGATTATCAATAGTAATAATGAATTCTGTTTATGCATTTATGTTTCCTGTAAGTTAACAGCAGGCCAATTGATTTTGGTTTCTTTTTATCTCTATATCATGCCTTTTTCCCTCTGGATAGCAGCTCAGAAGCCTCTGAGTTTATGCTTTTGAGTGTGCAAAGAAGCAGTAAAATGTTTTAACTGAAATCAGCATGTTTCTAGTGGCATTTTTGACTTGTGATACCGCTATCTTTCATTTGTTATTAAAGAGACATACCAAAAATATTTTAAGTCTGACTTAAAGAAGCTTTATTCAGATTTTACAGGCATTCAAAACTGCTGTGGAGAATGCTGTCCAATACAATAGTACCTTGATTTTTTTTCCTTCCTAATAAATAATAGTTTAATGCAATTGAAGCACAAACAGTCCAATATTTATTTTATATTGGACTGTTTACCAGACAGAGAAAGAGGCACTTTAATATATTTGTGTATAGAGCTCTGAACTGAGAACTGCATCTGGGCAATCAATTAGAAGTACATACAGCAAGATGTAAAGCAAGAGAGAACTGAACTTCTTTTCTCCAGTACTCTCTTTTTCAGGATTTCACCTCAGAAATGTCTGTCTTAACCTTTACAGATCTAGAAGCATGACATAACTGTGCCTGCTGAAGACTTCCAAAGGCTTCAGTAAAATCTTTTTATGGCCACATGTCAGTCCTGAGCCAACTTATGCTATAAAGGCTTTGAAAAGACTGATAGAAGAGATATAGTTGTCACTGTAAGGGGGAAAAAGTTTCTGTTTTATGAATAACATAAGCAATGCTGGAAATAAGGAGTGGGTATAGAAGCATTTTGACAACTTGCGTATGTTAATCTGGAATGTAATTCATCTACAGCTTGCCACAGAGTTTTACATAGCAGTACATTTTTGAGTTTCCAGGTTCCTATAGGTTGTCACTCTGTGTTGGCAGAATGGCAGCTGTTTAATTCGAACTTTTCCTGCTGATTACTCTGTTTTCATTCATTTTAACTGAATACCTGACTGCATGACATCTTAATGTAAATGTGTGTCTATATATCCAAAAAGGTATAAATTTTTTATGCTAATTAGGGTTTTAGCAAAGCCTTTTATGAATAGCTGCAGAGTTAAATAACGTCATCAGTTTACACGGGGCTCAGGCAGTAATGCCCATTTCCTTTCTTTCTTCTAGGAGGGGATGACCGCCGGGTCTTACTTTGGCATATGGAAGAAGCCATCCATTCAAGAGTCAAACCAGTTCAGCTGAAAGGGGAGCATCACTCTAATATCTTCTGCCTAGCTTTCAACAGCGGCAATACAAAAGTGTTCTCTGGAGGTAAGGAAGGAAGAGAACTATGCATTGTGAATGCTTTGGAGTAGAAGCCATGAGTGAGAACCTGCCCTACGTGATATCTGGAAGGTGTTCTTAATCAGCAACTGGAGTTTCTTTGGAAACAGGGAATCCTTTAGTTAGCGGGACATTTTCAATTTTGTCATGCTTCTTTTCCCAGACCCTGGTGTCAGCACATTCTTGTCTTGAACTATCATGAGAATCCTGGGTTCAGTCTGTGCCTACTTGTGCTACAGACTGCAGAATGTTGTCTTTGTTATCCCTTCTTAGCTGCAATGGGAGCAGACCCTGCATTGTCTCTGGCACTCAAGCCTGATGCTTGAAAATCTTTGCTGCTACAATCTGATTTTAATGCACCCTTAAATAGCTCGTGAAGGACTATTGCCATCTATTGGTGGAACACTTTTTTTCAGACCCCATTTTAGTCCTCA